AATTTTTATGTAATACATGGTATAAATTATAAAATTATAACTAGATTTTACTAACGTGGATGTTTGATTTTCATTAGAGAAATTGTACTTTTACTCATAAAAGATAAAAGCAAAAACAAGAAGAGGAAGAAGAAAGAATTGGACAGATTGGGAACTAGTTACTGGACTAAATTACAAAAAGGCCTGGAACTGAACTACTTAATTGGAGTTCCTTTATATGTGAAGTTGAGATCAGTGTACCATTTTTGGTTTGTGTTCTACACCATTTTTTTTCTCTTCCTTTTTCGTGAATAAATTGTTACGTGCTTACATGATCAAGCACACTATATTTTTTGTGATCATTATGTTGTTCTTAAGATTTTGAATCTCATTGAAAATTCATGATATGGGGAGTAATAGAAAAGAATCGAGACAGAGATAGTCATGTGGCCAATCCCATTTATATGGGAATAAGGCGATGATGCTGATACTGATTATTATGTAGTGCTTTAAAAATATTTGAGTGAACGGAGCTTACCGCTTACCTTGATTGTACATGATCTTATATAGTTGGATTCTTGGATGCCATGCCTCAGGTGTTTAGTTGAAAATCAACAAAATGGGGGAGACAATAAAGGCCGACTATGGATGAAAAATATGAGTTTTGTTGAATATTTTGTGGTTTAGAAAATCTTATTTGTTTTTGTTGACGTGAGGTGGTGATGAAGTGAGGAGATCGTTCTACGTAGATTAGGAATACTGAGATCAGTGTCTGAGTGAGAATTCAAGCTACACCAGGGACTCTTTTTTAAATGAAGATTGAGAGAAATAAGGCAGTTACTCAGTACCTTTGACTAACTCAAGGTCTGGCATTAGGTCTTTATGGTTCTTGGTCTCTTGCCCTTAATGTCTAATTATTGTGCCTATTTATAATGCATTTTCTTCTGGATAAGGACCCTCGGTCGTGGCGGTTAACTTCCCTTTGACCAATGGGTTAACGGGATTTTTTCCTGATTGATGGGACGTCTGGAGGTGACCCGAGGCAACCTACGCCTCCACCTAGATACAATAATGATGATTTATGTCTTACAAGTTCCCTCAATGATACTGCAAATTTAATGCACTACCTGGCCTCCACCTTACCGAGTTCTATCCATAGGTATTGAGCATCTTTTCCCCTTGGTGTAGGGCTCGAGGTGGGGCAACAAGGCAACTTGAATTCCATCCTCCTAACCACTATTTATTATATTCACGTATTTCAGAGAGGAAGGGGGAGGGATTTGAGGTTCTGCCTTCTTTGACCTCGCATTTCCCAAGTTCTCACGTTTCTCGAGCTTTCCCATAATGGGTGGCTCGGGGCGAGTAATTATGGCGAGGAACTTCTGGCCCATTTCTAGAGTACTAAGGAAATGAGGGACCTCCAGGTTATGACGGAGCCCATCCAACTGGAGTGAGGTGCCTCCATGGCAGGAGAGTGAAGGGTAGCGACCCTTCCTCTTGAGAACTCAGTGCTCGCACGTCTAGTCCTAATAGCTCAAGGCTTTTAAAGTGTCAGGTGGGACCTAATATGGTCCACTAAGCATTGACCAGTTATACAATATTGTCTAATGTGTCCTTTGTGGTAATGTCATCTAGGGTGTTGTTTTTATACATTGTGTATAGCAAACAATTTCTAAGACCATCTCCAATGCAATACTATATGGGCTGCCATTTTTAAAATATAGCAAGTGGGCTTAAAATGGGCTCTACAATGGGTTGTCAATTGGGCTGTCAATTTTTAATTTTGCCAAAACTGATGCCAATTGTAGCACAAGAAATAGCAATTGCTATTTCTCTAGGGCTACAGAAATAAAAGGGACTGGCTCTTATTTCGTTCCTATTTCTCTAGGGCAACAGAGAGAGAGAGAAGAGAATGGCGGAAACAGAAAGGGAAGAGACCGGCGACCAGCGACAGAAAGAGAAGAAAAGAGGTGTCCTGTATTTTCTCTTCCCCTATATGTGTGTGTAGAGAGAGAGATGTGGAGCTTAATCTGAATTTTTTTGTGCGACAGAAAGAGAAGAAAAGGGGCGTCCTGTATATGTGTCACACCAAACTTGCTCTCTTTCAAGTACTCTTTCTTTTTTGTGTGGGAGTGATTCTGTGTTACTCAATTACTCAATTAATGCTTACATATATGAAAAATTGATTCATTAATATTATTATTTTTTTAAATGATCGCAATATACTCCCTGAAAAATTTGGGTGAATTGGGTCTTTGAATTTGCTTGATTTACAACAAGAGTTTTTTAGTTAGATTGTTGATGAGAATATAAATTCAGGTTATTCAATTGTTATTACATGCTCATATGCTATCAAATCATCACAAAGTAAAGTATTAGGAAGATGTTAAGCTTTTATGCCAGGAACAAGTTCTTTTTGTTTGCTTTTCTTTTTCCCGTTTTAATTTGTCCTTTGTGCATTAATGTTTACTGTTTATCCTCATTTTTTGTTTGCTTGTTGTAGATAACATTAGAGGATGTCTTCCCTACCGAGGCAGCAAGCGTAGAAGAATATCTGCAGCAGGTAATTTTCAATAATTTAGTTGTTTGGGGACAATATAATATTAGTTGATACTTTGTCTCTTGTTATCTTGCACCTTTTTTTAGGGGGCTGAAATTATGAGCATATTGTTTTCATCGCACTTGCTTACCAAAAAATAAAATATCAAATCATATTGTTCAATGTCAAGAAAGTAATATGTTTTCTGTTTAATTATGCAGCATATCCCAAAACACCTATATACTTGGATTTTAGTTCATTAGGAATTATAAAGACATGGAATATAAATTTTTTATAATTTTGATGGTTTAATTTGTTGTGAATTGCATAGAAAAGGTAAGAAAACAACTATGTCATTCACATCAATGTAGCTTGTTGAATATTCACACTTGTTAATATCACTGCTAAAGTTCCTTTCAGATACCTTAGGGAAATTATTTCTGTAACGATGTACTGTAATTAGTTCTTTCTCTGCTTGTTTTAATGACTTTTCAGTAGCATCCATTATGTGAATGTTTTTTTTTCTTTTTTTTAAAGATTTTGTTTCATGCTTTATCTTTGTATTTGCTATAATTGTGACAAGGATCACTTAGGCACATATTAGGCAATTTTTATAATTCTTCGTACATTTAGAAAAAAATTTCCCGGTTAACTTTTTTTATTTTACTTAGTTAAGTAAACCCATTTATATAACTCACCCAGATATGATTATATGTTCTTGATACTCCATACACAATGGTAGTTGAAAAAAAAAAAAAATGAAGGTTGTGTCAAAAAATAATATTTTGGATAAAATGTACCATTAGAGCAGAATTGTAGGACCTCTCAGAATATAGCTTTGGTATGCAAAAATAACTTTTTGCATTAGAAATGCCCTAAGGGAAGCTGCATTTAACTTGTTTTATAGCTTTATCTTTGCTGTATTTTTTTCCATGGATTCTCGTCACATTTGATGCCATTTTGTTTTGTGTGCTATATCTTTGTGATTTTTATTGATTGATTTATTTATAAAGCTTGTTATATGTCCAGGCACGTTATTTTGATCATTATAATACAGTAAACTATTTAAAACTGATTGGAGGAGATTCATGTTGTTTATAGTACTAGGCTGTTTTTCAAGTAAGCCCATGAGATGGAATTTAAGAAGCTTCTTTGATGGGTAAAAAGGTTCATTGAATTGGTGATTACACGACACGGATGCGGTGATACAGCAAATTTTAAAAAAATAAGATACGGACACGGCGGAAATACACCTAGAAAATAATATATATATATATATATATATATATATATATATATTCAAAATTCATAATACCATAAATCTAACCTCTCTTAAAAAAAATACTGCAATAAAAGAAATACTTTAATTAATTAAGAATAAAGCAAAATTATCAACAACTTTACGGTTTACATTTTATACACATCCACAAATATAATTGTTCTGATTTCTCTCTTTTTTTCTTATTACGGTCTAAAAGTTTATTTAATTCCAGCACTAAGATGAACGAATCAAATAAAAAAATAAACATAATAGAATCATAGAATTTAATAAAAATAGAAGTTAAGAATCTTAGACAAAAGAATCAATAGAGTTAAATTTCTAAAATTACATTAGGTATCCCATTTTTCTTTAAAAAAATTACAAAATATACTTCACCGAGTCCGATACGTGTTCCCGCCGTATCCGGTACGTGTCCTCCGCTTGTCCACCCTATGTCCAATAAAAAATAATTTCTATACACTTTACATAAGTATCGAACATGTGTCCAACACTAGTACAGAACCCAGAGAGAGGGGTCCGTGCTTCATAGCATATTACACTTTGTTCTTTTAATCAGCGATGTGACATAATTACACAAAACCAAACTGCTTTTTACAATAACCATGGAGTTCAAAATGTTTTCAAGGGGAAATTATGCTATTCTCTTATGAACTGCAAATATTATTACTTTCTAAAATAAACATATTCCAATTTGAGTTAAATATACTATAAATTATGTCTCATACTCAAGGACTGTGTTCTTCTTGTTCAATACGTAGCATGAAGACTACAAATAAGTAATTACCTTCATATCTTATGACTTGTCTAACACATGAACAGCCTGTGGAACATTAAAATGAGCAAGTACCATATGAATTAAAAAAACAAAGACCTAATTTTTCATCCCCCAAAGTTCACCATGCCTATTAATGCAATATATATGCATACCCATTTCCTAATTTCACCTATTAATCCAAGATACATACATACCCTTCTATTAGGCAAAAAAAAGAAAAAAAAAATAAAAATTGTACTTCTCTACAGCAACAATACTTGTCTCCTTGCGCAGCCTTTAAGGAAAAAAAATAAAAATAAAGAAATATTAAATTTTTCTTCAACATGGGATACTTTAAGACCTCTCTGGTCCCTCCAAATTAAGAAACATGCATATATATGAACATAAAATAAACATATATACACTAACAATCTAAATCAAATAAATAGACAATTAAAAAAAATAAATTTACTTCAATATAGTTAAAAGAACAAAAGGACAACAGCCTGGTTGATCAAACTCATCAAAGAAAAAATGCTCATCAGAAGATTATGTACATTTAAGAAACAGTCTACTTGGAGTTTGAAGGTGCAGAATTCTAAAGGGGCAAAAGTAAAACAGGGCAGGGAATGAACTCAGCAAGAAGGTTAGCGTCCACATGCTTGGAATGGATGGCCTCCATGCTTATAACTACCAAGTCCAAGTTCAGGTCATCAGCAACCTCACCAATGATGGCCGTTGGCTTGTTCTCTTCCCCAAGTCGCTCTAACAATTTGTATTCTTGGAACCCACCTATCAATCAATGTTTCGAAACCGTAAAAAAATTATCAACAACTTCCTTAACTTGGAAGATTAAAAAATAAAACAGCTTTTTAAATGAAAAGGGCATAAAACAATGAACTTTGTTACGTAGAACAGTACCATCCAGTCTATTTAAGGCTACTGCATTCCCACACACAAAGATTACTTGGCCTGTATTCATGGCCGAGTATTATCTAACCCCAAGTAGAAAATCTCAACAATGCTTATCTATATATGATATAATATGACATACATAAACAGTAGCTGAAGCACTAAATATATTGCAATATAATAATAAAAATCTAAATTTGTCAATCATTGAGTAAGAACAGCCTTAAATCAGAAAGGTAACAAAAGGCAAACAAAGAATAAGGAGAAGCACGGCTGCAGGATATACTGAATCATGAGACTCAAATTCCCGTTCCTCACTTCACATTATTGCAGAATCAAAATAAATCCACTTTATTAGCATATGATCATGAGAGTGCAGATATACCTTCAGATAGATGCCATCTGATGCTAGACAGTTGGCTGTCATGCTCCGGCAATGATTCTTTCAGCTTTTCATCGATAACTGCAAAGAAAATGAAGTAATAAATTCCCGGAGATCTTGCAGTGAAACGGGTCTGTAACAAGAAAGGTGTCTCTGCGGCTTAGATTTTTTATATTGGTGTATAAAGAATAATATTGAGTGATTCCTATTTATTACATACCTACAACTGTGATGTCAGCCCCATACTTATTTGCCAAAGCAGCAGTAGTTGCTACAGCCTGTTAAAGGACTAGTTACAAAAGTGAGCAAGTCGACAACAAAAGAAAGAATTAAGTCACCAACAACTTTTAAAACATTTGATCTTGCTAAAGTATGAGATAAAAATATCCAATATTAGTTTCAGTAGCATACGTTCTCCACAATTCCATTACAATGGCACAGCTGCATTGACATGTTATTTAAAACACTATAATACTTGCGCTTTTTGTCTTAAATATTTCAGCATAGGTCAAGTCATACCCAAGGCAGGTCCAATCCCTCCAGGACAGCAGAAAGAAAGGGCGGTGGAGTTGTACTACTGGATCTGGGACTCTTAATGTTCTACAGCCTCCCAGGTGATGACTGGTAAAAATCCTTCCCAAGAAACTTCACTTAATAATAAATTAGATGAGTGCACAAAATTCTGGCCAATGTGCAGAAACTCCACAATGAAAACAAATAAAAAATGAGAAAAAACAATATTTGATGGACTTTTCATTGTACTAAGGGGGCTATTGCTTGGTGCAATGTTATAAACTTAAGACTGTCAAGCATCAGAATAATATAGGGTCAAGTCCGAGGAAAGCAAATTGCATACATCTAAACAACTACAAGCACGACAGCTTACAAAGGTTAATAACACAAAGGATATTTTGCATCTTATTATAAGAACGAATGCCCTCAGAATCTCAGATAATACTGAGGAGTTGAGTTTTGTTTGTTTATTTATTTATTGTCAGCTAGCGTGAACCTAATCAATAACCTACCACAAAATATAGATGCTAGGATCTTGATAAATACACAGGTAAGACCTGATCCGAATACAGTCAGTGTGTATATATCATATTGATTTCAAGGTATATTATTTACACATAAATTTAACCTATTCTAAGGATTAATTGCAATAATTGAAGGTACATCAAATACCATAGGATCAGCACACAGTGGCATTTGTCAAAATTAAAACCAGCATTCAATTTACCAGAATGCACTATCTAAATTGAAATTAATGAGTAAGCTTTCATAAAAGTGAAAGAAATTTCAGGTAGACAACAAGCTACCACAATGATGATCAAGTTTTGATAGATTACTGAAAGATATCATCAGGGATCCAAATAGCTCCCAATGAGAACAATAACGTTGAAATGAAATTACAGAAATTGTTATGAAAAGAGGATGCCTAAGAAAGCCAACAGGATAAAATAAATAAACAAAAGGAGAAGAAAAAAGCACCTGTCTTGTTCCCTCGGAGAGATAAGGATTCGGGTCTGTGATTGGCAGAAGCAGATGCTTAAAATTAGTAAAGGCATCTGCAGCTAAACTGAATTCAGATTCTTGGGGCTTCACCCTTCCTGTAGACAATTAAAGCACAGCTATTGAATCCAGACCACAAGTGAAATAAACAGAGTAACAGACTGTAGATATCAAAGATAAAATAACATTATTTAAAAATAAAAATAAAAAATTTGATGGAATAGAAGAATTTATTTTGTCAACAAAACACTGATGTAAATTTATAAATGATCACCTTGCCAGAAATCAGGTGGTTGCCACATGAAGATTGCACTCGCAACTACTATCAGTTATCTATGAATGCTAAACTTGAAAATTAATAAAGACAAAACATAGTATCAAGAAAGAATATTTTTATTTTGACAAGGACTATGCGGAGAGAATAAGTCCAAACTTCACATTATTAGCTGCTGTATTCAATATAATGTTTCTTAGCAGGTTCAACTGCAGCTAACATAACATTATGTTCACTGGCAGGGGTGAAAATCTAATCTGATTGCCTGAGGTGCTCTTAGTCCTGAGAACTCCTTTAACGTTTTACGTGTAGAGAAATAACTTCCAAACTGCATAGTTACCCCATGTTCAATAGGAAATTAAATTGATAATATAATACATGAAACCTTTTCTTTTCTTTTTTTTCCCCTTCAGCTCTATTAGGTACTAGGTAGTATATCCCAAATTATGATAATTAATAGTAGTCAACATCTCTAACTATAGTTAGTTAAAAATGTAGATAGTACGGAAAAATTATAAAAACTATAAATGGCACGATGAGGTGTGATAGGCTCGGTGGTAATGGCTGTGGCGTGGTCTAGAATGCGGTGATGGGTCATTGAGGTATTGAATTAGTGCGAGAAAGGAAAAGGTGGGTTAATGGGTTTATTTATTTGATAGGTGAAAAGGGTGGGTTTATTACATGGGTGTTACCTATATTTATGTTTGTCACCATGGGTTTTACACAATTTGATGCAGATTTATTTTTTATTTTAAAAAGCGTGTATTCAACTAACCAATTGAGCTAACTGATAAAGGAATAAAACTTCTGATAAAATCCATTTGACAGTAGGAAAGGTCCCACCCTATCTCCGATACAAGGGGTGAAAGTAAAATTTCCCTTGATCTCTATGGAAGTTGGTGAAATTGCCCCTTCCCTTTTTTTTCCCCTTACTTAAGTAAAATCTATTAACAAACTAAAAAAAGAATGAACATACAAACAAGGGCAGCAGCTCAGCAACAAACCAAAAAAGCATAGGTGTAGAATCTACACAATCAGACCAGTGGACAAGCCCTCCAGTCCTAGAATTAACATTCATCTAAGGAGACAGCAGTACAACTTAACAGCTAACCTAGATTACTAAACCATACAGCAGTATCGAAAATAGTTAAGTCTCCAAGTACAGGAGCAAGATATAAAAAAGGGGCAACCGTAGTGCAAGAGCCTCCCGCCATTGCTGGGTCTAGGGAGGGTTAAATACTTAAATGTATGCAGAGGAGAGACTGATTCCTTGTTTTGAACCCATGACCTCCAAGTCACAATGAAGCAACCTTACTGTTGCGCCAAGGCTCGCCCTTAGCAACTAGCAAGATATATTGCCTGGCAAATACAGCAGCTCACTACAGCTTTGCCTACTACTAATGATTATCAATAATGAATAAGGAAACTGTTCATGGAAGTTTTGCCTTCCTGCCTTGCTAACCACCTCCTAAGCACTACACATTCAAAATCTAGAACAATTGTAATTTGGAAGCTATTTTTTTTTTTTTTTTTTTACTTATCAAAAAAAAATTAGTAAAGAGACTGGTTTCCATCACTTAGATGAAAATAAGGCAAACCAAAAATATATAAATAGACCAATAAACTTCACGAGTATTTATCATAAATTAAAACACTAAGAACATTAAGGAGTGAGATATAAAATATTAAAAACAAAAGAAAAAAAAGAACATATCTTGATATTCATCGAGTAGAAAGCTTAAGTTTAGGGATAGGTTGAGCTAATTATGAACTTTTCTAGGATTCAATCTATCCATAAGGACCTTAACGGTTACAAATCCTCTACCTTCTATATGCATTCATATAAATTTTGAACCCATGATTTTCAAAATCCCACCTTGCAGAGAATGAGTATGAATCATACTAATATGGATCCAAATTTTACTCACAAGAAAAATAGTCTTAAGATTCACTCACATAAATGAAACAAATTACCAAGAAAAAAATACATTAATAGAAAACCAAAATTTCCCAAATCAGAACTACAATGCGCAAATAAGTGCACAAATAAGAGACGATAACACTAACAGTAAAAAAAATTATAGAATCACCTCTGTGTCCCTCTCTACGGAGTCTGGGAAAGATAGAGAGCTTATTAACCTTCGATTTGAGTGAAGAAGAAGAAGAAGAAGAGGAAGAGAAAGCTACCGAAAATGGGGAAGCAAATGAAGAAGATGATGAGGAAGAAGTTAGGATCGAAGTTTTGTGAGGGTTTGAGGTTTCGACAGGGACGGCGAGTAAGTAGTGAGCAAAGGCCATGGAATTACTGATTCAAGACCTTTCGATTTCTTGGTGTGTGTGTGAAGGAGGAGGAGGAGGAGGGCAGAGGGAGGTTCGAGAAGGAACAAGGAGTGAACTAGGGAGAGAAAAGAATACAGAGAATGGATGATGGCACGTATGTGACGTGTGTAAAGGATGATAGTGCTTACTGTACTCGTGGGCCACTGATGATCAGGTACGTTGATCAATATTTATCTGACGATAATGGTTGGAAGAACAACTATTTTTGTCATCTAGTCTAGTCTGTGGGCCTAACTGCAAGAAATGGAGCGGGATAAGGATTCACGTAGATCAAAATCTGATCTATACCATCCGAGTCACATTATTCATATTTCACTTTCAATTGTAATTAATTTAGGATTAAATTTGAATTATTTGTTGTATACCGATTATTCATGTCTACTAAATTTTAACATTCTGATTTAAAATTAGGTGTATTAGGATTAAAAGTTTAAAATTAGTTATTGATATTGGTGCTACTGTTATTCTTTTTCTTCAAAAATAAAATTATATAAAACTTCAAAATTTATAATTCATAATTCTTACAATTTTTAATAATATTATTACCCTTCAATATAGAATTCTTCTTAAAACCTAATTTCTTATCTCGCTCTCGCTTTCCCTTAATCGCTTTTATTTGCGCTCCCTCCCCAAATCTACAAATCAATTAATGACCGTAACTAGATCAATCCAATCACGTATTACCATATTGAGGTTATTATATGTAGTCGTATATTCTTTTAGTAGTTGGTACAAAATTAATAAAAACTTTCTTATTATTTCAACACCCAATTTACAAAATTTTTTACTTTTTATTCCAAAATTCTTATCCATCTTTTTATTTTGAAATGTTTCAAAATATATATTTTATTCTTCAATTTTTTTATTATTTTTATAATATTTTTAAACTATTATTTTGACATTAACTTGATTAAACAAGTGCACTAATTACTCTTATCAATACAAAGATAAATTTAAAAATTTACTTTTATTAATACCCTAAAAAATATAAAAAAAATATAAATCAGGCTTACATAATACTTGATAGAGAGAGAGATATCGATGGAAAAAAATTCTCTCCAATTACTCTCGTAACTATCTCACTGGAGTGGTCAGTGAGGGGTAAAAAATAGAAGAAAACCACAAAAGATTTGGGGAAAGAAGAATAAATGATACACGAACAAAATAACAAAGAAGAAGGTGAACCAGATATGAACAATTTCCCAATACAAAAGAGAAGAAGTAAGAATGTATTTTAATTTAAATAAAAATGTAAAGTTGAATGATATATTTTTTTTAGTAGTATAATATATTGTATAAAATATAACAGTATAAAGCTATGTTAGAAAGGTGAGAGAGTAATTAGAGAAGATTTTTATCTGAGATCTAATAATAACATATTTTAATTTTTTCCTCCTTTTATTTTATTTTATTAATTTTTTTTTTTTTTAATTTAGTGGGAGGTTCTCAATATAATGGGGATTAACGGGTTCGAACCTGGGACATATGGCATCTCGGGTCGTTACCTTACCAACTCTACTAAACCCCTGAGGCCATCTACAATGCTTTTTGTTCATAGAAGATGTGACAAAATCTTTGATTCATAAGATTGGATCAAAGTAAAAACTGTAGAGCACATTGTCATATTTTTTAATATACTAATTTTTTTTTTTCCTAATTGATACTCACGCACATATATGTCTTATAAGACTTGAATCCCTGACATTCATTTAGGAAGTAAGGGACTAATACCGCTAAACCACTGACCCATTGATCAGTACACTATTCCTGGCCCCAATTTCGATTCTAGTACAATCAAACTTATTTCGATAAATTTATTATTGAATTCATTATTATTATTTTTTTCTTTTCAAAATTCTCTTGCATTTGTGCCGTTGTGATTTTTTATTTTCTCTAATGTGATAAACTTGGTAACACCTATTTATTTGGTTCATTGATTTCTCGTCGGGAGGATCTGACTGAGAAATTAAAGTGGACGCGAGAGAGAAGAAAAAAGGAAATAAAATTCAATAAGTCTCCCAACCTTAATAAAGAAAGGTAATAATGGATTAAAAATGAAAGATCAATTATTGTGAGTTTGGATTTTTTTTTTTTTAATTTTTTTAAATTTTTTTTAAGAAAAGAGTAGAGCACATGAGGAAATCGTTGAAAGGTTGGATCTCAAAATTTTCCAGTAAGATGAATTACTTGAAATATTGACTTCAAACAGAAAAAAAAATTGTAACATTTTTATGCTTAGCATAGACTTGTCAACTGCACCAAGACAATGGGAATACAATTTCTCATATTTCAAGCAATAACATTGGAGCTTGGCCCGGGTTATTTTTTCAAAAAAAAAAATATATATATATTTTTAAATTGGAAAAAATGGATATGACATTTACCAAGTCGAGAGCCCAAACGCCATATATTTGCTTATTTATTGACACGGCCACTATCTTTCAAAGAGACAAATAAATGTATGAAGTTCTTACTAATAAAAAAAAAAATTATAAACCAAACATGATATATTTAATTTGAGATAGAATATATATATTCCTGCCAAACTATAAAACTTACAATCCAATACAAGAATAACCTCACAGCCATACAATTTTTATGGCTTTAAAACAAACATACAACCTTATAATTATTAATTGCAATCCTTCTAAAATAAAATATAGATTCATCAAGAGAATACTATTGACAAATTATTACTCTAAAGAATGCTTATTATAGAGAGGCACTTAAATTAATTGACCACCCTACAGTCCTTCCTCACTTCCTGTCCCCCTGTGATGCTGCTCATTTTGATCATAGATTTCACAAAAGCCTTCTCGAAAGCTTCTTTTGAGGTAGCAAACTTCGAGACTAGGTTTTTTGTCTTCGGGATGGTGAGCAAAGCCTGGTCTGAAGAAAACAGGCTCCTCCCTTGGAGGATCAGCTTGTAGTAGGTGTTGTCAAAGGTTGTGGATGAAGTATCCATAGGGGAACCGGCATTCTTGGCGCTGTTTTTGGGGCAAATGCTCTTCAAGCTGGCGGCAAAGGAGGGATGCAGTGAAGGGTCAACGTCGTGTGTGGTGTCGAAGTTGTGGATCCTGTTTCTAAAGGATGAACAGTGGGAGAACCCTAGTGTGTGACCACCTAGGTTGAAAACAATTTTGTTAATACATTAATTTGTTCAACCAGAGAAACAGAGAATATGCAGAGGGATTGGGGATTTTGGGGTGTGTTTTTTTTTTTTTTTTTTACCTGAGAGAGCCACTAGGTCATCCATGCTCAGACCTCTTTGAGCAAAACTTTGTTGGAGTTGAGATATGTTGAAAAATGGAGCAGGCAATTGTCTGGTTTCAATGGCATTGGATGTTCTTCCATCTTTTCTCCCTTTTGGGACATCCCAACTGGGACCTCCTGACTATAACATTAATTCAATCAAACCATCAGAAATGCATTATTTACTTGTTAACATGTTAAATTTGTGACAAGAGACATTGATTAGTCCTCGAGTAAGAGAGTCTGGTAAATACGCACGCACACTAACAAATGCTCGCTACAAACCCCTCTCATGAGAGGGGTTATGGAGTTTACGTTTCTCAATTGTGAAACTTTTAGAATTGAGTTCGAAAATGATATCAAAAGTTAAATATGTATTCAACTCTCCTTCTCACGACTTAGTAATAACCATTTATGTACTGGTAGAAGCAGTACTCATTTACCTTCCAAAATAGAAGGTGAAGGTTCGAGTCTCCATATAGTACCCAAGTTCCTTGCCCAAAAAAACAAAAAAGACTGAAAATGTAAAGATATACTATGTTTTGGAACTTACCAACACAACAGCATCTCTTGCAGCCAAAGCCAAGATATCAGCACATGAGACAACTCCAGGGCATTTTGCTTCTACCCTTTTCTTTGCACTGTGAATGACATAAAATGAATGCAAGGAAACATTTGGAGGTCCATCTTTCTCTGCAGTGTTCTTCCCTTTCGAACTTAACAGCACAGAAGCATCACAACCCTTCAACAAAAAGAAAAAAATTGTTATATTAATATATAAAAAAAAGATATAAATTAATTTCAAATTAAACGCGACAGAGAAAATGTGTTCGAATTAATAGATCGAGAATATACGTACCCTTACGAAACAATCATGGAAGTGCATCCTGAGTAGTGCTGCAGGAACTGTTTTGTCTTTCGTCGTCGCGGCTCTGACAGCATCTCTGATGATTGATTCTGCACTAGGGCATGTTTGGTCATAGTAATTTTGACTCAGTGCATTCCCTGGAGAAGACATTGAAAGGATGACCAGTACAGAGCTTAAAAATGCAACAATGACAGCCATGGTTCTGTGATAGGAATGACTTCTACTATAGGTAGCTATCTAATATCTTTCAGTGTGTTGAGAAATGAGTTGATTACAAGGCCTATTTATATAGAGAGAAAATATATATTAGTTGTTTATTAATAGATTTGAATAATTGTTCGAGTGAGTTTGGTAACCATACATGCATTGATAACGCAAAGTATTTTTGAAGCATGTCCTGATCAGTACAAGACATTTGACGTCACATTTTTCCCATTCCACCTTTTCTTTTTGATAATTAATTTTGTATTTAAATAAGCAACAAATGCATATGTGTGATTAACAATTTCCTTTTTTTTGAAGAAATGGGTAATTTTTTATTTTATTTTATTTTTCTCTTGAATTGAATATTTGTGTTAGATATATTATTATATTAATTTCCAAATGGGCTTTTAATGCCAAATTACTAGGGTTTTTTTTTTTTTTTTTTTTTTTTTTCTCTTAAATTTTAATTAATTGTTTTGAGATTGTTTTCATTCAGTTCATTAACTCCAAAATAACCTCTATTTACCGGGGAAAACAGTTATGGTCAAATGACTAAGCCAAACATAATGAATGGTTCATTTTCAATATATATATTCCTCCTCCTTTTTTCTTTCTTTTCTTTTTTTCTTTATTTATTTATTTATTATTCTTTTTTTCTTTATTTATTTATTTATTATTATTTTTTTTGTGTGGTTTATGGTGGTGTCGACCTCTTGCAACGCTTCATAATCTATCACTATACACGTCATTCTCATCTCAATCATTAAGCAATTATGTTTAAAATTCTCTAACACCACCTAAGACTCTAAGTAATATAAAACGGGAGCCAGAACGGAAACGTGAGAGTGACATAATTAAGTTATAAATAGTGATAATTTGAATCAGAGCACGCGTGGAGCGTAAGAACGAAAACGCGTTCGGAATATGAAAGCGACACCCGTTAAAAAAGAGTGTGCGACTTAGGGCACCACCCCATTAAGTCTTTTAATTATATTGTTGTTGCTACGTTTCTTTGAAGAAATAACCCACCTTTTGAATTGGAAAAGCAAAGTTTTGAGGTGGTTAGGGTTGACCTATCAATGTCGTTATATTGTGTAATTATAGCTTGTTATTTAAGTTTTAGCTTTATTAGTTATATTGGATAGTTGTCACAGCTAACAGAGTGATGTGAGTGGTTTGTTATAATCAAGTGTAAACTTGACCATATATATACACACACGCGCACACACACACACACCCACGCACACACACATATATATATTTATGAATTATGAAGTTGCAAGACAGGTTTGCAAATTGCTAGTTTAGTTGGGCCAACCACCATGTAGTGTGTCTACTAACTCCTCTGGCTGCATGGTTATTCATGGCAAATTATCTTATCTTACAAATTATTGTTGTTAGCCGATCAGTCAACAACCTAACTAAATTAAAATATATAGTATACATATGACTGTGTATATATATATGTGTGTGATGTATGCATGTGTTATTATTATTCTCTCATCTTTAACGTTACAAAAGTATCCGTTGAAAAAAATTACATATTTTATTCAAACACGATGGAATACTTTAGGAAGAATCAAAGGTGGAAGAAGACAGTTTAGATCAAATCAAGAGAATACATACATATCCCACTTTGTATATTAGTTGGAACATACGACTTGTAGTGATTGTTATTGCTAAAACATGGAATATCAGTTTTATTAATATGTTTTAAGAATCATATATACAGTATCACAAAACAAGGATTCATTATTGATATGAAACATAAGTTGAATGTTTAGAATACAATAATAACAACAAATATGTCTGCATTCACAATGAATCGAATAGAAGGACGAGATTCTCCACATTTATAATTTAAAAATAACATCAATAATGTGAAATTAATTGACCAAGGCATGGACATAACAATTAGTTTTATGTAGAATTTAAACAACACAAGTTAACTCAACAATAGAAAATTAATTCAAAAACATAAATTAAGAATGAAAAACAATGATAACAAAATTAATAAGTAGGAAAGAATATAATGAAATGCATGTTAGGCCCTATCTTAAAGTGAAATAAAAACTTTTAATGTAATATAATAATACCAAGGGTCCGAGTTTGAATTTTCAAAGAAGTAAAATGAGTGTGTGTGACTTGTCAATGACAAATAATAATAATAATAATAATCACACAATGTATATAATTCAAATCATAATAATTATATTAAGTCTAATAAATATCATTAATAGTATCATTGATGTTGGTAGATCAGTCAACTAAGCTAGAATGTATATATATATATAGTGTGCATTTCATGTGGTGAAGGTTGATTCATTTTGATCTTCCGACAAAAAAAAAAAGGTTGATTCATTTTGGGTCTATTCTATATGTGTATATTATGGATCCCTTTATATAAAATAGTTTGCTAAATGGCCCAACTTAATCCTTTAATTAGGAAGTGCATCAATATCAATTAACTACTAATCAACCTCTTAGACTTACAATTTGGCTATTCGACTGCACAATCTAATTGTTTGAACCTTGTAAGTTGGTTTCACAAATTGTAGAGTTCAAGAAGCTTATACTTCAATCCATGATCAAATTCTCTATTACTGGAGCATAGTTAAAGGAATTCTCTATTACTGAAACATGTTCAAAGTTAAGTAGCTTAGATGTATTTTTTTTTTTTTTTTACCTCTCAAGTAACATAGTGAGAGTTCGAATCTCGGTAAGAACATAGGATGTTTTTAGTTTTATAATTTTGGGTTTTGAAGCCACGGACTTATAATTGGTGCACATAGGTTTTGAGGGCATGGGCCCACCAACCCAGGCTAATGGTAACTCTGGTGACATAAACATATATATTAAGTCGCCCTTTCACAAATCGACCATGGAAAGAAAATGTATCGGGTCGAAAAGACTACTCTTAGTAACATTATTTTTCATCCAAATTCATAATGTTCTTGTTGTAGTCTAGCCAACTGTAACGAATTGGGTGTTTTGCGATTTGACCCCAAAACTTAAGTTATTGGGATTAATACTTAACCCATCTTTACCCATTTCACTTTCTATTTGGATCCGATATGGGACAAGACTCCCATTGTAATAGAAATCCTCAATAAAAGAAAATGTCATTTTTCTTATTTTGTTTCTTTGTCCCAAAAAAAAAAAAAAAAATTGGGTTATGACCTATGATCAAAGAAATAGGGTTAATTACAAAAAAAAACCCTCCCGTTTGCCTTATTGGCAGTCAAATAGAATTTGACACATTTTTTAATAATGATATCTCCTGAGATTTGATTAAGTAAACAGTAACACCCCAACAATTTTTTGTCACGTGTAAATTGACTTTAATATCTTTTGACTTGTGAATTGACTTATTTGAGTTATGAAATTCCCTATTTACCCAATTTAGACTCTTTGCATGCACAAAAATACCCCTTTAATTTTCAATGCTATACCTCACTCTCCGCTCACACCCATGGGCTCTCTCTTCACAATTGCAAATTATATACACACACAAATATCTATATGTATATATGTAATATTATATAACATTAAAAATTATGTATTATATTAGATAACATTAAAATCATGTAATTGAATTAAATCCAATTATAAATTGACTGATTTTTATTTTTTTTTTGAAAAATATGTAATTGTGCATTTACAAATTGCAAAATTAATATCATAAAATGAACTGGCAAAATTAATTTATCTTGATTCAAGGTTCAACATGGTCGATAATACACTGTGAAGGAAGAGATCATATTATGAAAATCCAATTTCTGAATCTTGCATTGCGTGAAAGGCTTTAACTTTAACATATAAAGGGAATGCCTTACAATGGAAATCATAATCCCATAAAAGAGTACCAGCACATGGATTGCAAAAATTCGGGATATATAAGGTTCAAAATCAATAGACAAAACCCAGTGATTAATGAATTAAACGATAAAAGGGAAATTATGATGGGCATTTTGGTCAGTCCTCACTTCTGATATTTTGACATAAGAAATGAGTCAGATAATAAAGGGTAATGTAGATATTTCACAGGTTATTTAAATGGAAAAGCTGATGGGGGGTGTTACTGTCCAAAATATGGCCAAGTTCTATATCAATGTAATAAAAGTAAACTTCAAAAGGTGTCACTATAATTAACCCTAAAAAATATGAACATGGACACATTGTCACGTCAAATTCTTAAATAGTATAATAGAGATATGTTGTGAAATATAAATACTGAGTATTAATTTTCATTGATATTATGAAATATTAACTGGATAAGACAATAATTATAGAGTTTTAATTAATATATATTCTACACTAAAGTTACATAAGCTTACAAAGAATCTTTTATAGTTATGTTTTTGTTTATTACACATTTCGGTACGTGCTAAATGTTAATTTTTAGAAAGAAAAAGCGTTGAACAATTTAATATATGTTCGTAATATTATTTATAACATTGTCACATTTGTTTTTTATAACATAAAATGTGTGGGATGTGTCAATCAAGGGTAAAGTGTAAAAAATCCTCCTAAATTATTGGCTTTTGCAACTAACCCTCTGAACTAATGATTGTCTCCTAAACTATTGATTTGTTACAATTAAGGACAAACCTGTCACAAAAGACTATTTTACCCTTTGTTATTAAAATTGTCATTTCTTATTAAATTATTTTTTATTATATTTTCTCTTATTTAAATATTAATTATACCATTTACCTCAATTTTATAATAAATTTGTAGCTATTAGTTTCTAAAATGATTAATTTATTATACTCACTTTAAAAAAAATTAGTATAAAAAAATATCTTATATTTCAAACAATATTCATGAAAAATTAATAAATTATGTAGCTATTAGTTTCTAAAATGATTAATTTATTATACTCACTTTAAAAAAAATTAGTATAAAAAAATATCTTATATTTCAAACAATATTCATGAAAAATTAATAAATTATGTAAATAAAAAATATTTCTTTTTAATGCAGTATATTCATGAAATTTAAGAAATTACTTAATTATTTCAAAATTTTCTATTTAAGATTTTTATTTAAATAATTAATTTAAAAAATTAAAGACAAAGTTATGCAAATTTAATGGAGAATATTTCATCAAATTATTATGAATTTTTTTCATAATTTATTTTAACAAGAAAAATATATCAAGTGTAATTCAATAAGAAAGGGTATTATGGTCATTTAATGAAAAATAGGAAAGAATGGGGCATTTTGCAACTAAATGTGATAGTTTGGGGGTTTTATGCACAAAACATAATTTAGGGAGCTTATTTGCAAATTTAGATATAGTTGAGGGGAATTTTTTGCACTTTACTCATCAATCAATGGTCCAAAATAATAAAAATTATTTTTATAGGCACAACCATAAAATATCAGACACGTTTTTAAGATTGTTTATAAACGGTCTCAACACGTGTTCAAGATTGTTTATTGTGAAAAAATAATAATCCTTTCTTCTAAAAAAATCTCAACCGAATTATTGTGTTAATTAATTGAACCTAGCCAAGTAATGTGTTGGTCTCAAGTCAATAAAAGTACCAATTTCAAAATGAAAAAAAAGGGGATTTGGTTCTTTTGATAAATCACTTATTAGTAGATCTACTTCTGAATAGAGTTTTGACTACCTATTTGTCATTTTCTAGAGTCATACTAATTAATTTACTGACCAAATTTAGATAATTGGAGGGAATTTTTTTTTTTTTGGGTAGGAAAGATAGAATTTTGAAATATTTATTTATTTATTAGAATCACTTACTTGTAAAAAGCTATTCTTGAGATTTTTATTTATTCTTTTCATTTAAGAAATGAATATATATATTTTTTCTTTCCGGAAATTGAAGCTAATCGTATAAATGTGTAATGTGTACAGTGTGTAATGGACCAAGAACAAAGGACCCAGAGAAGCATAAAGGCAATACCTTAGCCCAAACTGCAGAGTAAAAAAAAAAAAAAAATACAGCACAAGCTAACAGGATAAGCGCCCAAGACCAAGACCAAGACCAAGACCAAGCCCCAGTCCAAGCCCAATTATTTAGCTCCAACGGTCCCTCAATCACCCGCTAAAATCCTAGGGTTTACAGTGGAAGTTCTTTGCGCAGAACGCAACTAAACTCCGTCAAGATCTCACACGTCCTCGGCACCGCTTCAAGCTAAATTGCGCAGAGCACTCTACGAAAACATGGGTTCCAAAAACAAGAACTCCACAAAGAACAAGGAGGCGAATCGAGAAGCCGCTGTAGCCGACGGTGCGCGCGATAGAGGGAACCGCCATGGCGACAAGGTCATCACTGACCCTCGGTTCGCGTCTGTACACTCCGACCCTAGGTTCCAGAAACTTCCGAAGCGCAAAACGCAGGTCACGATCGACTCTCGATTCGATCGAATGTTCACCGACAAGAGCTTTTCTTCATCGTCTGCCAAAATCGACAAGAGAGGCAAACCTAAGAAGGACTCATCGCAAAACCCTCTCAAACACTATTACCGTCTCGAAGAAGAAGAAGATGATAAGAAACGCAAAGGTGTGGCCAAGAACGAAGAAATTGAAAGTGACGAAGAAATCAGTGCAGAGACTGATAGCGAGAGCGAGAAATTGATTAAGAGCGACGGAGAGTCGTCTGATTCGGAGTTGAAAATTGAATCAGAGCGGTCGGAATCAGAAGACGAGGGTAATAAGAGCGATGGGTCTTCCACGGACACTACTACGGATTCTGATGAAGAAGATGAGGTTTATACGGAAGAGGAAGACACTATTGCACAGGTAGAATTCAATATTTAGTAGTTAGTTTCAAATATCTCTAATACTTCAATGTATTATTTTCCTTTTTTTTATGTGGATTAGGAGGAAAATGTACCAGAAATTGACAAAGAAACTCACAGGCTTGCTATTGTTAATATGGATTGGAGTCAAGTGAAGGTGAGTTATCATTTACTTCTTTAAAGATTTGAATTTTATATATTTGAAGTGTGGCATGTGTTAAATTACATTCTCCAGAATTCACTCAATTCCAACTTTCACCTCTTTGCTTGTCTTAAAATTTTTCTACATGCTTTGAAATATGGCCCACCCCTAACAGTACCCATCGAGCACATTTAGTCTTCAACTAGATATGTTCAATTCGATGATTTTCTATTTTGCTTAATCACATTCTTCAAGTGGTTGAAATATTATTTTTTATAACAGTTTCTAAATAAATGTACTGATAAGATAAAATTTGGTTTTGTCATGTTAAAGTTAGGATGCTGTCTTAATAGAATTTCCTGTTTCAGTTAATATGGCAATACTGGCAGAGGCAAAAGTGCTTTTTTTTTTTTTTTTTAATTTTAATTATTTATTTATTTTTTAACAAAGTTTATTGTATATGACATTTATACTATATGTGAAGTCAACTCATGGTAATTTCCGTCTTCTCCTTTCACAAGTGTTACTAGTACAGTTATTGGTATTTGTTTTGTGTCCGAACAATCTTTGTTTTTCCCCCTCCATTTTATTCTATGCCTGGTAGCTAGGTAACATGGACACACAGAATCTCTATGTATTTTCCGTCAAGCTAGTTTTACATTGAGTTGCTTTTTGTAAGGTCTTAAATTAACTTTCAAGTCTTTAGCATTCATGACTAAAATTTTATCGCTATAAGTTGATATTACCAGCTTACACACAGTTTAATTCATTTTTGCATGTAATCATTCATGTTTCACTTTGTGGCTTGGGAAAAATAAATCCTTGAGATGGTGCTGGAAACTTGGGCCTATTTGGTTCAGTTCTCGCTAAGTCCAATTTCAAGTATTCAGAAAAAGGAAAATAGTTTTGAGAGAAAGTCTCTGAAATTTTCAGTAAATTGTCAATCAAAAGAAATTTTGAAAATTTTCATGTGTTTAGTTTTCTAAAATAAAATTTTGAATCAATTAAGCCCTTAGTTGTGCTTTCAGCTCACCTTGCCTGTACCAATACTGCTTTTCTTCTAGTGGCACAATATCCATTTAAGGAGTTACTTATGTTCGCGTCATAATCATGTTGACCTGAATTGGCTAAATGAACGTGTCGCTTTTGACCTGCCACCCGTTATAATTGATTAGGCCCATTTAACTAAGTGTCTTGTTCATGTTTGAAATGACCCTAATAGTATAAAATTTTAATTAAATGTGTCTTGCCCAGTTGTGTTGCGTTACTTGTTTCAAGGTTCCTTAACACGAATAATAATTGTGTCGTGATCACGTCGACCCATCTATTAGGATATCCATGTCATGACACGAAATGGAAACACATATCGATTAGAAATTCCAGCCTAGTACATTTTTTGCTGTGTGTGTCCTTGAATATTTTACCTGAAAGTTGGTTAATACAAGCACAATACCAATGGAAGCATTTGTTTTATTCTTGATACATATCAGTTCTTTTGTTTCCTTTGATATGCAGTAGCAATTCTTTTTTTTTTTTTTTTTGTTGGTTTATATTGCTCACTATGACCATCTGTGTTGGTAAAAATTTCCTTAACATGTTGACTTTATTTTATTTTATTTATTTATTTTTAGAATCTTTTGTGTTCTTTAGGCTGTTGATTTATATGTAGTCCTGAGCTCATTTCTCCCTAAAGGTGGACAAATTTTATCCGTAGCCGTCTATCCATCTGAATTTGGACTTAAGCGTATGGAAGAGGAGGCAGTGCATGGTCCTGTTGGGCTATTTGATGAAGACAAAGAGCAAAGTGAAGACGACAATAATGATGAGATTGACAATGAGAAATTGCGTGCATATGAGTTGAGTAGGCTAAGGTGATTGACTTTGATGCTGATTATCTCTTTGCCGTCTTTTTTACCATGTTGGTGCATATTTCAATTAGAATGCTCTCTTCCCTTTCTGGAAAAGCAGATGCTTCAGGTTGGAAGCCTACCGGGTGATGGAATGAGGTTCCTCATTTATTCTCTTCTTTTCTGTTTACTCCAATAAATTTCTCTTCTTTTCGTATTCACTAGTGAACCAAATGAAGGGTGGAAGGGAAGTGGGAGGGGAGCTGAGTGTGGGAGAGAGACTTTCTTTGTTGTTACTTAAGACAAATGCCTAGTCCATAGTTGTGCCGTTCTTATTAATATTTTTTTTTGGGTTTTTAATTTATATATTTCATTGTGGCTAGCTTATTCTTTTGTAGTTTAATCCTTACAATGACATATTTTGTTTGCATTTTCCTTTCTTAGGTACTATTATGCTGTAGTGGAATGTGATTCGAGTGCTACAGCTGATTATCTTTACAAAACTTGTGATGGAGTTGAGTTTGAAAGATCGTCAAATAAGCTGGATTTGAGGTTTATTCCAGACTCTATGGACTTTAAACATCCCCCGCGTGATGTCGCAACAGAGGTAATTTTGCAATAGTTTGGTGATTGTAAGGATCTTGCGATCTTAGTAGGCAATAGATACTGTAGTGTTCCCATTCTGCTTATTTCCACAAAGAAGGGCTCTATAATCTTGTCTGTGACCTAAAGAACAGTTACTCCTACTACTACTTCTAGCAGCTAATCAGATGATTATAATTGATCTTTTAGTTTCTACTTTGCATCTAAGAAGCACAGGCATTTCCAAGAAGTTGACATATTCATGTTGGATGTGCCCTCATTTTAAAATTAAGATCCTTAATTTTGGACGCATGACCAAATTTTCTTAAAACATGTGCTAACATGTGATGAATGAACTTCATTATTGGATAGAACTTTTAGACTGGGGGAAAGTATAATAAAAAGAAAAATCAAATTAATGGCTTATACTAAATTTATATAAAATTTGATCATTTTTAAAATACAAAAGAAGTAAGGTGTTATTGAAGGAGTCCCATGTGAGTAGAAGACAAGTCAACATATTTTGTTTATACATATAAATACGCATATCTATATAAATAAACAAGCATGCACATTCAGATATATTCTATCATTGTCACATCTTTTTCTATTTGAGGTGACCATAATTATATGATTTATTATGTTTGAGTCATAGAATTTTATTCGTCATATTAAATATAATTTTAATATAAAAAGATATGTATTATGTTGTTGTGTCCTTGATGTATCCATGTCCTTTTTAAAATTAATTTGATCAACTTGTCAAGTTCATGTTATGTCTCTGGCTTTTGTCTGTATCTGAGCTTTCTGTGCTACTCATTTTGATATATATATACACACATATACATTTGTACTTCTTTCCAGTAGACATTTATCAAAACAACTAATTGCTTATATTAGTATATTTCTCCTACCCTCTAAAAAGCTCTTCCATACATGAGGAATTGATTCTATGCCCAAATATCACATGCCAGCAGATATGGTCATTCTAGAGTTCCTACTTCCTACTGATTTTTGTGCATAGAACTAAGTGGGAAGGTTCATGGACAATTTCAATTTTCAAATAGCTTTTAAATGTATTATGTCATTATAAAATGAAATTGGAGAACTGAATCCCTGTCAAACAAAGATCCTTTTTTTCGTTATTTCATCTGGAATCATTATTCTCTTAGTGATTATTCATGCTTTTGTATGAAATGTCCATTATTTCTTTTAATTATGAAGTCTCAATTCATTCCTATGTTTTTCTTGTGCACTTGCTCAAGGCATCTAAGCAATATTTCCAAGTATCATGTTACCTGACCCTCTCCATCTGTCTTTTTAGTATGAACTCCTATTTGATTTATATTTTTCTTAATCCCTTCCAAGCATTTTTATTTAGAACTTTCTATTTTATGTTGTTGCATTGTGTTGTCCACTTTTCATGCTTACAATAAAAAGTTATATTCTTGCATCCTCTCGATCAGCACTTGAGAAATAAAACTTAAAAGAGTCGACCTATGCTGGTTTTTACAGATTTTATTATTTTTGCGGCTGTTATCTTCTCACATTCCTCAATCAATTCTTGGTTTAATACCAGCCTCTATAGAATTGATTATTAATTTTGTTAAATTATTTGTTTCCTCAGGCACCAACAAGCTATGAAGGTTTAGAATTCCAAACTCAAGCACTGCAGCAGAGTAAAATTAATCTTACCTGGGATGAAGATGAACCACATCGTACAAAGACCTTAAAGAGAAAATTTAATGCTGAGGAGGTTGGTTGTTTCATCTATATTTCTTCTTTGAGTCTTATGGCTTGATACCCAATTTGTTTACGGTATTATGTGCTTTTGTGTGTGCCAAGTGCGTATACGTCAAGATTCGTCTTGTGATATTGAAATACACGGACGCACGTGCATGACCAGAAACTTTTGTAGATTCACATGGGCACATGCACCCACACGCACACACATCAGCATTTCGTAGAAGAGTCCTGCTATTTGGCCCGACAAATAAAAACCTACTACTTTACCGAGTCTATGTGGCTACCCATGTGTCAAATATATTGGGACCCATTTTAAAATATAAGGTAATTGACTATTTGGAAAGTTGTAATCCCTTTTGTAGGTTTATCTTAATGTAGTATCTTTGTTGGCGATTAAAGTTTCAACCACCATGCATATATGTATATTTGTTTTATATTTCAAATTTCATCTCTGTAAGGACTATTGGGATACTTCATATTGTGTCTTTGATCATTAATATCCATTTATTACTTTGGTAGGCATTTGCTAATTGATATAATGATCAACTCCCAGAAACAAAAGCAAGAAGAGAAATTTTAAAAAAAATTGCGAAGCATAAAAAAATTATAAAAACATAGCATATTTTGCTCTAGATTTTGTACAAATCAAATTATTAAATTTGAGTACCATGAAACTTGCTGTGAAAACGAAAAAGAAGATGATAAACTGAAAAGATAAGGAAAGGGAAAGGGAAAGGGAAAGGGACGTATTTTATGGAAACAAACAAGAGTAGTAATGATGCCTATTTAAGTTGAAATTTTAGAATAATCACGTCACATTTTTATGTTTGTCGGTTTTAATTCGGGGTATTAAAGTCGTCAATAATATCATTTTCCTTCTTAGAATGTTGTTGAAAGCAACACCACGGTGATAACAAGTAACAGGAGTGATGGTGAAGACAATGCAAATGGAATGGATAGGACTTATCTCACTGGAAAGGAGATAAAGAAGATGACATAATAGTAATAACAATAGTGATGACAAAGACAATTGAACCCCCCCCCCCCCCAAAAAAAAAAAACAGTGTTGTAGATACTTTATCTTCTAATGTTTATAAAATGTTTAATATTATTATACCGTCGACACTTTGCTCAGTGAAATTATTTTATGCACTCCATCTTTTAGCAGTTTTTAACAATGTTGAATATGATATACTGTTGATCCTTAGCTCTTTCTGGTTCTATTTCCATCTAGCTAGCTGAATTGGAATTGAAGGAGTTTCTGGCTTCTGATGAGAGTGAAACTGAAGAAGATGAGAATGATAATAATGATGCTATGGAAGATCGATTTGGAAAAAAACAAAAGAAAAAAGATTTGTACCGTGCTCTCATCCAGTCTGGCGAGGGTTCAGAAGGCGATGATGACGAGGATGGCCAGGATATGGAAGTCACTTTCAATACTGGCTTAGAGGATATAAGCAAGAAAATTCTAGAAAAGAAGGATAAGAAATTGGAAACAGTTTGGGAGGCATATCTCAGAAAGAGAAGTGAGAAGAAGAAGGCAAGGAAAAATAGATCAAAGAATTCATCAGAGGATGAGAGTAGTGATACTGATCAAGAAGCACCTGAACAATTTGACGACTTTTTTGCTGAAGAGCCTTCAGTTAAAGGAAGTAAGGAGTCTCGAGGTAAAAAAGACCGGAAAGAAAAGCGGCACAAAGAAACAGCTGATGAAGCAGAAGCAAGCAGGGCAGAGCTTGAGTTGTTACTGGCTGATGACAAGGGAGAAGATGCCAGCTTGAAGGGATACAATTTGAAACCTAAAAAGGCTAAGGGGAAAAAGGGAAAAGAAATTCCAGATGAGGGGAAAATACCAACCATTGATTATGATGATCCACGGTTCTCGGCTCTCTTCACTTCACCTCTGTATGCTTTGGATCCCACGGATCCTCAATTCAAAAGGTATTTACCTAATATTAGTATATTTCATGTAATTGTACTTCATAGGTATTTGTAATTACTGGCCTTCTTGAATGCACCTCAGTGTATGGATGATGCAGTTGGATGTCCTCAACATCCAAATGGTTCTCTATATTTCTGATCTTCAAAAGGATTATATCTGCCATTTGCTTAATGTTGGTTCGTCCTTTATATGCTTACAGACTTGGTTTGGTGTTGCAGGAGTGCTGTTTATGTTCGGCAGTTGGCACAGAAGCAACAGAAGGGTGGCCAGGAAGAATTGGAGGGAAAAGAACCGACAAAGTTGCGACAAGCTCTGTTGCCACCTGATGATCTGGAGGCAGACAAAAATGAGCACTTACGATCTGATGGATTGCCCTCAAAGAAAGAGAAGCATGAGCTATCTTCGTTAGTTAGGTCAATTAAGATGAAGTCCAAACAAGTTCAATTGGCCTCCAATGCTAAGATGCCAGGAAAAAAAAGAAAACCGCAATCCATCGCCAAAGGAAAGAACAGGAGGGGAAATATCCAAAAGAAAATTGTGACAGATGTTTTTGACATTAGCCCATCAATATAGATGGTAAGAGCTGTAGGAAGCAACGAAGTTGTACGAGGATGTATTGGGGAAAATTCGACGATGAAAGATTTAGTATATTTCTTCTAATTTTATTGTGATTTATTAATAAGAATTGTTGGGGAACTATTATTGATCTTGTTTCAAATCAACTTATTTTTGAGGAGGGAGAGAATACTTGAATTTTTGAGTATATGATGAGAGAATGTGTAGTAAGCATTAGGATTGCCCTTCGAGTTTTTCCTCTAGGTTTTGTGAAGGCTATTGAACTTGTAATGTGAGTGGTGAAATTATGCCAGGAGGTTATGGACAAAAATGGTCGTGGCTAGAGCCGTAGCTAATCAGTTTAAGTTTGCAGCTTCTGTTGTCAGTGACCACGGGATACGGGTATCGTGGAAAAGATTGTTTTGGACAGATTATGATTCGGGTAGCACAGTGAACTTCACTGCTCATGAGCGATAATATTTATCAAAATCCCAAACTCCCAAAGAACAAAATGTATCCACGCTGCTCTTGCATGGCACCATAATTTGTAAGAATGCACTTGTAAACATAAAAATATATTTACAACCTGATATTTAAATTAGTGCATTAAATACTACAAAATAGGAAGCCAGAAGTGGCTCTGATTTGTTTATATTACACTGCAATTAAATTACAGTAATGCTGTGTTTGGGAACACCAAATCAATGCCTTGGATTTAGAATTAGAGAAAATTTAGTTCAAAGTTTCGAACTAATAAGTTTCAACTTTAATTCCAAGGCGCCAATTTGGTGCTCCCAAACGCAATATAAATAACATATGCTACAGGATTGAAAAATTTCATGACAAAAGAATGGTGAAACAATGGATAAAGAGAGAAAGGGCACTGAAAAGAGAGACAATGAAGGAATTCAAGCGTGATGAATTGTTCCCTGGAGACGGTGGCATACTGTAAGGAGTAGAGATAGGGGAGCCATTTCCAGAACCTGATGTCGCTTTTGGCTCCACAGTAGCAGTTGGAGGAACTGCAGTTGAGTTTTGTCGGTCAATAGGTAGTGTGTTGGAGTCCTTGGCATCATAACCTGGGACAAGAATTCTCAGAATAACTTACAGCTACACACAGACCACCACATAGAGAGATTCAAAATCTAATCAATATTAACAAGATTGCACTCACAGTCGGACGCCTTCCAGCCCAAAACCATCCTTTCACGATCAAAAACAATACGGTAGCCAGTCATGAAATTTTCTGGATAAAGACCAACAAATCAAACTCTCACAATGCAAATGTGAAGGCACACAACATTAAATATGCATTAAGGCAGTCATTGATACATAAGTTGCTTTCAGAAATAAAATGATTTCTTTTTTGTTTTACATATATATAAAGGAATTTAGAGGAAGGGGGAAGAAAAGGTTTGGTGGCCCAAAAATGACTTCAGTTATTTTTTTCTTTCTTTGAATTCATTGTTACGGTCTACTGAAAAAGTTCATACTCAGCTAGAAGATCCAAAATAGTAAACTACTGAGAGTACAAAGAATTTTTCCCTAATTGTAGAGAGAGAAACTTTTACTCCCAATGATTTTTCAACCACTTTTCCCTCTCAATCCCCTTTATTTATAAACGGTTATAACCACCACTGAGCTGGACCTATCTTGTTCTCTTTTGGCTGGACTCGACTTCTTTTATCATAACATGGGCTTTCGTAGTGACTTCTTGGATTTGGGCCCATTCAGCGCGGACTTGCTCCATCCTGGCTATCCATACCCGACCCGTTCTTAGCAATACGACCCATACCAAGCCTGGATCATTTTTGGTGTCTTCATCTGCCCCCAATAATCTCTCTCCTCATTTATTAGGATGAGATTATTGAAAAGTCACAATCTTGGTTTGACGGCTCGGAGCGATGACGCGAGGAATCGAACGGCTGGCACAAGGACCCAGACTTCAAGATCTGCTGCGCCACTTTTGCCTTGACCTTTTGGATTCTGTGTCGCCTCCATTTCTTCTCTTTAAAAACCCCGATCCTCTCAACTTTTATCTTCCTTTAACATACCTTGCTTTTATTCTCCGTTGCTTTCCTGCACTTTCCGGCGATCCTTCTTCAGTTTCTCCGGCGAGTTTTTCCTTTGCGATTTTGGCTACTGCGCTATTGCTGTGTGCATCACAAACTTTCAAGGTCAGTTTTTTTTACCACTCTTTTTGAAAAAGATACCTTTACTGCCAAGGACTCCTCCCCTTCTCTATGGCTCCCCCAAATCTGAACGCCATTCGCTTCAAGAATAGCATTCCCAATGACATCTCTCTCAGGGTCTATCCAACAAACTTAGATGGGAGATCTGGTGAGGGTCTCCTTCTTGGGGAGGTTTTACTCTCTGCCGTCCATTTAAACGTCGTTAGGTTCCCCTTACACCCATTCTTTTGTTACGTTTTCAACAAATTGGGGCTTTGCCCTCTGCAGGTTAATCCTAACTTCTTTAGGGTAATTTCAGTCCTCCTGCTCTTGAATCGTGATAGGGGTCTCAACCTTGACATCATCAACCTTCTCCTCTGCTACCGAATTAATAAAATCAAACAAAATGATCTGTACTATCACTTCTTCCCTATTGACAAACGGTCGATCTGCACAGATAAGAACTCGTTTGAAAAAGGTTGGAGACAAAACTCGATTGTGGTTAGTGGGAATTGGCGGACTCCACTCGGCCAATCTTTCTCTATCCCTTCTTCCTTTGGAGTATGCTCTATCTCTGGCTACAAAAAACTGAAAACACATCCCACTGAATGCCATTGTGAAAGTTGCCTTCCCCATTTTTGTACTTTTCTTTGTAGATGCCTTCAAATTCTTCATGACGAACTGGTTTATAGCGTTTGCAGGGCCAGGCTAGACATCTTACAAGAGAGTGTGCTGAACAACGTCCCTTCAGCTACAGATTTGTTTACACCTGACAATCTCTCTGACATCTCTCTTTTTAGGGTCTACAATGGAGAGCATTCAGATTCCATCTTTCAGCAGGAGGAGGCGTTCTGCTCCCATCCCTTCTACTGCTCCTGTTACCATATCATCCTCTACACCTGTTACCACATCATCCACCTCTGCTGTCTCTGCCCCAGAACAAGTCGTGATTGCTCCAGCTGTGACTCAAGTCACAAACCGTTCTGCTGTTGGGCCTTCTGAGCTCACCCATGCTGAGAATCCTGCTGTGGATCATTCTGCTGAAGTCCGTCCTGCTGCTCCTATCATTGCGCCTTCAAACATCTTGTCTGACATTTCTTCAGAGAGCACTCAGGATGCTGGAGATTCCCAGAACAATACAGGACCAGCTAATGCTGGTCTGTCAGAAAAAAGTTTGGGAAAGAGGCCAATGCCTGAGGGCGGTCATGATCGGAGTGACGTCCCACCAGCCCGGAGGACCAGGATGGCTTCTTTCAGGATTACTGAACCCTTACCCCCAGCTCGGTTTTTCATTCCAGTGGGTGAATCAGCCAGAATCTCTGGTCCAACATCATCCGTTCTTCCATGGCGACCTTTGCTCGGCCGTGAAGATGACTCGACCATTGGCCCCACAGACTCTATGTACAAGGACCCTCTCACCTCCTTTGCTTTCTATAAGGGTTTTTGGACTCCCAAGGATCTTGAAATTCAGAACAAGTTGTCCTTTGGTGAGATGTTCCAGCGGTTCCCAGCTGTTGCCATGGAGGTAATTCTTCTTCGTATTGAGATATGTCTCTTTTCTACTATAACTCTTTAGTGGCTAGACTAATCAGAATCTCCCTTCCTTTGTGCAGACTCTATTCGGGATGTTTACCTTCCAGAAGACCATTGAGGCTCTGAACAAAAAACTCAAATCTCTCTCTGTAGGCCTTAAAAGGTCTGTTGAAGCAGAAAGTCGCCTTGAGGTTAAAGTTGTTGAGCTTGAGTCTAAGCTGAGCGAGTCAGAGAAAGGGGCTGCCGCCTTAAAAGCAGAGAAAAACAATCTGGCAAATGAAAGGGACACCCTCAGAGCTGAACGGGATACCCTTAAGGTTGAACGGGACTCTCTTCAGGATGAAGTTGATGTTCTGAAGACTGAAAAGAGCGTTGCACTGACTGAAAGAGATTCACTGAAGGCTGAGAAGGGAGACCTTCAACGTTCACTTATTGCTGACCGTTTGTCTCATGCCAACTCACAGGAGAAGCTCTTAAGTGAACGTTCTTCTTTGCTGAATATGATTGGCAAAGTTGAAGAGGGTATGAAAGCTCTCTTTGCCCGCTTCACCAGAATCAGTGCCCTCCGGTACGCTGAAGGGTATAGAGATGGCTTTATTGACTGTTCTCCCCCTGAAGGTGAATCAAGTTCTTGTGCTGGTCCGGATGAGTTGGACGCTTCCTTGGATATCCACCCACCAAACAATTACCAAAATCCACCCTGCGACCCTGCTGAGAATATCTTTATCGAGTGTAAAGAGGTTGCATCCTCAGGAGTTGTTCCACCCTTTCATCCTCTGAACATTCCTCCCATTACTACTATCGTGCCCTCCTCTTCAGTTGCCTCTGACAGACTCATGCTGGCTGAGGGGGTGATTCATCTTGATTCTCCCCCCAAGGATGATGGTGCAGCTGCGAATGGAGAAGACCTCAATGGTCCAGAGGGTAATGATGGGGAAAACAACGAGTCACAGCCTGGGGAAGACCATGAGAACTAGCATACTGCAATCGTTTTCATCAGTTTTTTTTTTTTTATTTAAAAAAATGTACCTTCATGTATCCTCAGATTATCAAGCCCTGTACCTCAGAACTATTTTGTAATGAATGTCAATGCTTATTTTTAGCACAACTTCCATTCTTCAAGTTTTCAATTTTCAACTTTGTTTTCAATTACAAGTGTCTGGCGTTCGGCTCGAATGCCTCTTGCCACTCAGCATTGATTCATTTTTGAACAAGTATTTGGCGTTCTGCTCGTAATGCCAGTTGTCACTAATTTTGTTAAGTGCTTGGCGTTCAGCTAGAACGCTACTTGCCACTCGGCATTTAGCTTACTTCAAGCAAGTGCTTGGCGTTCGGCTCCTAGTGCCAGCTGCCACTGACTTTGCTGAATGCCTGACGCTTGGCTTGAACGTCACTTGCCACTCGGCATTTAGTTTATTTCGAGCAAGTGCTTAGCGTTTGGCTCCTAGTGCCAGGTGCCACTGACTTTGCTGAATGCCTAGCGCTTGGCTTGAACGCCACTTGCCACTCGGCATTTTGTTTATTTTGAGCAAGGGCTTGGCGTTCGGCTCATAGTGCCAGTGCCACTGACTTTGCTGAATGTCTGGCGCTCGGCTTGAACGCCACTTGCCACTCGGCATTTTGTTTATTTCGAGCAAGTGTTTGGCGTTCGGCTCATAGTGCCAGGTGCCACTGACTTTGCTGAATGCCTGGCGCTCGGCTTGAACGCCACTTGCCACTCGGCATTTTGTTTATTTCGAGCAAGTGTTTGGCGTTCGGCTCATAGTGCCAGGTGCCACTGACTTTGCTTTTCAGAGACGTAGCATTCCATGGCTTACTGACCAACCTTCCAGCCATGGTCTCCAGGACGTATGCCCCATTTCCTATGACTTCTACAATTCTGTATGGACCTTCCCATGGGGAAAACATCTTTTTGACTCTCCCCACCTTCCTTTTCAGAACCAGATTGCCAAGGGCGAAGTCTCTGTGCTTCACCTTCTTGTTATGGCTATTTACGAGCGTCTGTTGATGAGAAGCAAGCCTAATTACAGCTGCATCCCTTTTCTCCTCCAGCAAATCAAGATTAAACCTTAGCATTCTATCATTTTGCTCTTGATTCCACGCCAAGCTTCTAACGGTTGGAACTAAGTGCTCGACTGGTATCACTGCCTCGGTGCCGTACGCCATAGCGAATGGGCTCTCCCCGGTCGGCCGTCTTGGGGTTGTTCTGTAAGCTCACAAGACGTTCGGAAGCTCATCTAACCATTTTCTCTTTTCATTTTCCAACTTCTTCTTAATGCAGGCAAATATTGTCCTGTTCGTGATTTCAGCTTGACCGTTAGCCTGGGGATGACTAACTGCTGCTAACTTCTGATTAATTCCATACTCTTCCAGCAGCTCTTTCACTTGCTTGCTATCGAGATTGGTTCCATTGTCCATAACGATCGACCTTGGTACACCAAAACGACAGATAATATTATTCCAGATGAAGCGTCTTACTTAAGTTTGGGTGACACTAGGGTACGGCTCTGCCTCCACCCATTTGGTGAAGTAATCAGTTGCT